GCCCGGCGTGACGCCCCGAACGCCCCGAACACCCCGCCTGCTCTGCCCGTGGGCGCGGGGCGGCCTCTCCTCGGCCCTCCCCGCCCGTCCTTCTCCCCGATCCCCCCTCAGTCCCAGCTGCCTGGGTCTCTCAGGGCTCCTGCAGGAGCTGGAGGCCGGCTGGCTCCCGACAGGGGGAGGGGGCCTCCCCAACACGCATTTGCATATCGGGCAGGGTGGGGGTCAGGAGCCTGGGCTCACCCCTCCTGGCGCCTCTCCCCGGGTGGGATCCGCCTCCTCCCCTGCCAGCCTCGCTCTCCCAGAAGGAGCGAGCACTTTGCCCCCGGGAGGTGGGACGAGCGACAGCGGGCGGGGCTGCCCTGGCTCCCCTGTGACCCTGCGCCCCCTCTCCCAGCTGCTCTACGACCCCGGCGAGTGCGGGCTTGTGAAGGTGGCCGTGCTATACTTCAGCGACTTCTGGAATAAACTGGACATTGCTGCCATCCTGCTGTTCATAGCAGGGCTAGTCTGCAGGTGGGCGCCGTCCGGGGCGGGCTTGGGGTTGGGGTCGGCCCGGCCACCCTGGTGGGCTCGGCTGCCTCTGAACACATCTGTCATCTGGCCGTCGGGTGACCCTGTGCGCCCTGGGGACTGCCAGAGGAGCAGAGGAGGGCGGCAGGAGAATCCCTGTCACCTCGGATGGCTGCCTACGTGCACGGGTGTCGTCCCAGCCTGGCAGCTCCCTCCTGCTGTGGCCCTGGCCTCCCCGCTGCCCGTTAAGGCCGTGTGTGTCTGCCACCATTCCGCGGTCCCCTTTCTCCGTGAAGCATGGGGGACCAGGCCCAGCCCCTGGTCCCAGGATGCCTGCACGGCATGGCTGTGCTGCCCGAGGCTGGGCTTCTGGGCCTTCCTGGAGAACGTCCCCAACCCCCCGGGCCACACGTGGGCTTGGCTGGTGGGTGGGCCCTGGGGATGGGCCCGGGGCGGAGCGCTGAGGCCCCTGCCTGTGCCCGGCCAGGCTGATGCCGGCGGCGCTGTACCCCGGGCGCATCGTCCTCTCTCTGGACTTCATCATGTTCTGCCTTCGGCTGATGCACATCTTCACCATCAGCAAGACGCTGGGGCCCAAGATAATCATCGTGAAGCGGATGGTAAGGGGGGCCGACGCCACTGCAGGTGAGGCGTGCCAGGGCTTAAGCACACCCCGAGGTCCCCACGTCCCCGCTGTGCCCCTGGGCTCCCGCCTCCAGGCATGGCCCTCTCACGTCTTTGCCTGTATGTTGCCTCTTCCAAGCAGCCTTCCCTGATTTCCACAGCTCACTCCCAATCCCAGTTACAGCTCCCGTTGCTCCCCTCTGTGGGTCATGGTCACGTCCAACCCCTCCTACACATCACGGGTGCCTAGCGCCCCATTAGGGCATGGGGCAGCCCCAGGGCTGTCTCCCCAGAGTGCCTGGCTCCGAGTGTCTGCAGTGTGGGTGCCGGTGGTGGCTCTGTACCCCTCAGGCGCAGAGGGTGGAGGGCGGAGGGCGGAGCCCAGCTGTGGGACAGAGCACGTGAGGCGCCTGCGGCCGCAGCTGGTGCCACCCTGTCTCTGCAGATGAAGGACGTCTTCTTCTTCCTCTTCCTGTTGGCCGTGTGGGTCGTGTCCTTCGGGGTGGCCAAGCAGGCCATCCTCATCCACAACGAGAGCCGGGTGGACTGGATCTTCCGGGGGGTCGTATACCACTCGTACCTCACCATCTTTGGGCAGATCCCCACCTACATCGACGGTAGGGCCCTCGGACTCCCCGGGGCAGAAGGGGTGGCCGCTGGCATTGTCCAGCCGGGGAAGGGCGTGGCTGGGGTTGGGGGAGGTCCCGAGCTGTCCCTCGCCGCTGCGGTGGAGACCTGGGATGGAGGTGAGCCTGGGGCACTGGGGCCTCACCTGACACCACCCCCCCCGCCCCAAACATCTCCCTTCCCTTCCACCCCAGTCAGAAACCGTTTTCTCTCTGGGAGCAGGGAACACTTGTTGTATACTGAGCTTTTTCTTCATGTACTGATTTTAGTATCCAAAATGAGAATCTAATTCTGGAACATTTTCATCACTCCCTAAAGACACCCCACGCCCACGGCGGTCACTCCGCACCCCCCAGAAGCCTTTAATCTGCTCTCCATCCCCACGGAATCTGCCTCTCCTGGGCCCTGCACGTGGATCCGATGGTGTAATGTGGCTTCCGTGTCTTGCTGCTTTTTCTCCGCACGTTTTCCGGGTTCATCGGATTGTAGCCTGCGTCAGAACGTCCTTCCTTTCTCATGGCCGACTCGTGCCCCACTGTGGGGATAGAACGGGTTTTGCCTCATAAGCGGACTATTCCAGCTTTTCGGCTACTGTGAACAATGTAGCCACGGATTGTCACTCGCGAGCCGTGTGCGGACCTGTGTGTCCGGTCCCCGTGGTGCATGTCCAGCAGTGAACCTGCAGGGTCACGCGATGACTCCGGGTCATGTTCCGAGGGCCCGCCCGACCGTCTTCCCGAGCAGCTGGCCATTCTCGTCCCGCCAGCCATTGCGTGGCTCCGGCGTTCCCACGTCCTCGCCCGCGTCGGTCATTGTCTGTCCGTTCTGCTCCGTCCACTATTGTCCGTCCGTTCTGCTCCCCGAACACGTGGTTTGGGCCTGGGCCTCCCCGGCGGCCGGCGGCGTTGACCATCTCTTCATGTGCTTGCCGAGCCGTTTGTGCATCTTCTCTGGAGAAATGTCGATTCCTTTCTGCCCGTTTTCAAGCGGGTTATTGGTCTTCCGGCTGAGTCGTAAGAGCTCTTTCCACATGGACGTGTGGATTCGCGTGTCCCTTACCGTGTGCGCGATTCGCAGCTATGTCCTGCCCTCCTGTGCGCTGCCTTCTCACTTTCTTTGTGGTGCCCTTTGAAGCACAGAAGTTTTTAATTTCGGGGAAGACCAATTTATCCATCTCTTTTATCATGTGTCCTTTTGCCGTCAGATTCTAAAGGCCCATTGCCTGACCCAAGGCCGTGAAGATTTATGCCTGTGTCGTTATTCTAAAAGTTTTATAGCTTTAGCAATTACTTTGGGCCTTTGATCTATTTAAATGAATTCTCGTATATATGTTCTTTTGCATGCAAATATCCAGTTGTCCCAGCATCGTTTGTTGAAAAGACTATTCTTTCCCCATTGAGGCATCTTGGCACATTTTGTCAAAACGTCGGTTGGCCGTTAATAAAAGGGTTTAGCTCTAGGCTCTCCGTTCTGTTCCGATGGTCTTGCCTGCCCTGAGCCAGTGCCGTGCTGTGCTTGGTTACCTTGGTTACCGTATCCGTGTAGCAAGTTTTGAAAGTGGGAAGTGTGAGTCCTTCAGCTTCGTTCTTTGATTTTCCAGATAGTTTTGGCCTCTGGGTCCTTTGTGTTCACGTGAACTTTTGGATCACCTTATCGATTTCTCCAAAAAAGGCATCCAGAATTTTCATTGCGAGAATGGAATGTCTTTCCCCTTATTTAGACCTTTCATTTCTTTCTATAACGTTTCGTAGTTTTCAGTGTTAAATTTATTCTTAAGTGTTTTGTGCTTTTTCATGCTCTTGTAAATAGAATTGTTTTATTAATTTCATTTTGGGCTGTTTATTGCGAGGGTATGAAAACACACTATATTTTGTATAAGGATCTTGTATCCTGAAATCTTGTCGAACTTCTTTATTACTTCTCATAGTTTTAAGTAGATTGCTTGGGATTCAAAGGTCATGTCACCTACACACAGAAGATACTTTTCATCGTTTCGTCCGAATCTGGTTGCCTTTTATTTCTATTTCTTGCCTAATTATTCCGCTAGCACCTCTGGTACGATGTCGAAAAGAAGTTTGGAGAGCGAACCTCTTTATCTCGTCGCTGACCTTAGGGAAAGGCTTTCTCTCTTTCACCATTAAGTGTGATGTTCGCCGTGGGTTTTTATAAATGTCCTTCATCCCGTTGAAGTGGTTGCCTCCTGTTCCTGATTTCTCGAGTGGTTTTATTATCAAACGGTGTTAGATTTTTGTCGGGTGCTTTTTCCGCGTTTAGGGAAACGTCCGTGCAGTTTGCGTTCTTTGTGCCGTTAAGGTGGCGTGTTATGCGAAACGATTTTCAGATGTTAAAGTCCGCATTCCTGGGAAGGGTCCCGCTTGGTCATGCTGCGAACTTCTTTTCACGCGTTGCTGCCTTCGGTTGTCTAGCACGTGGTTGATGAATTTCGCATCCGTGTTCGCAAAGGGCGTGTTCTTCTCTTGTGATGTTTCGTCTTCCTTTGGCTCAGGGCGATGCTGGCCTTTTAGAACGAATCGTGTGGTGGTCGTTCCTTTTCTATATTTTGAAAAAGTTTGTGAAGGGTTGGTTTTAATTTTTCTTTAAACATTTGGTAGTATTCACCAGTGAAGCCATCTAGGCCTGAATTTTAATTCGTGGGAAATTTTTAAATGACTAATTCAGTCTCTCTACTTGTTATAGGTCAATTTATATTTTCTATTTATTTTTTCAGTCACTTTTGGTAGTTTCTGTCTTTCTAGAAATTTGTCCATTTTTCTAAGTTGTCTAATTTGTTAGCACATATTTTCGTAGTGTTTCCTTATAGTTCTTTTTATTTTTGTAAGATTGATAGTAATGTCCTCTCTTGCACTTATGATTTTAGTAATTTGAGCCTTTTCTTTTTTTCCGCTTTATCTGTCTAGCTAAAGGGTTCTAATTTCGTTGCTCTTTTTCAAGAACCGGATTTTGGTTGTGTCGATGTTCTGTGGTTTTGTATTTTTTATTTTATCGTTTTGCCTTCTGCTCTCTCTTTCCTCCTTCCCTCTGCTCCCCTTGGGTCTAGTTTGCTTTTCTCTTTTTCATTCACTAAAGCGGAAGGTGCATTATTAATTTGAGCTCTTATTTTTAATATAGGTATTTATGGCTATTACAGTGCATTTCTATCAGAAAACTGGTAATACTTTCAAAAATAGATTGGATTACAAAATAGTGCATTCGTGTTGAAAACTTTTTAAATTCAAAGTAAATATCAAGACAAACGTCGTCCCCGACCCCACCGCCCGGGGTCGTCGCCGTTAACGACGCAGTGTGTTTCCCGAGCGATCTCTTCGTGCACACGCTGGGTGAACACGTGATTTATCACGCGTCCACCGCTTTTTCTCCCACGTGGGGCTGCAGTGTGTTCCGCAGTCACCAGCTCCGTGTGGCGGCACCTTCCCCTCTCCCGCCCCCTTGTCTTTGAGGTAGTTGCTCATGTTCTCGTTTTCAATTCTGTCCCACCACATGGGGCTGTCCAGGTTGGGACCAGGTTGAGACCTGCCTCTTGGTGATGTACCCCTGCCTGCCCGGTGCTGGTCCCGCCCGGTGCTGGCCCCACCCGGTGCTGGTCCCGCCCGGTGCTGGTCCGGCCTGGAGCTCGTCCCCCGCCTGGTGCCTGGGGCCCAGGAAGCACCTTGGCGGCCACACTTCCTGCCCGCAGAGCAGGCTCGGGTGTGGACGGGCACCTCTCTCGGGCTTCCTCTGGGCCTGAGCCGACAGCTGACATGCCGGCGTCCAGGCCTTGTGACTGTGTGGCTGTCTTTGTTCCCCGCCCCCCTGCTAGGCGTGAACTTCAGCCTGGACCAGTGCAGCCCCAATGGCACCGACCCATACAAGCCCAAGTGCCCGAAGAGCGACGCCACGCGGCACCGGCCCGTCTTCCCCGAGTGGCTGACGGTCATCCTGCTCTGCCTGTACCTGCTCTTCACCAACATCCTGCTGCTCAACCTGCTCATTGCCATGTTCAAGTGAGTGCTGCCGGCCTCGCAGCCCACCGGCCTCCCGCCGTCTGCACTGACCACGCCACGGAGCTCGCGTCCGGGGCCAGGCCCCCGGCGCTCCGGGCGCCTCGTTCGACCCACGCTGGAACGAGCCGGCCCCTCTCCCTGGGCCCTGTGTGTCCGGCCGGGCCCTGCTGCCCGGGGACCCGTGGCACT